AAACTTAATCTGCTTTCTGGAATGTCCCCCAGATTGTGGGCCCCAGATGCCAACTAGCTTTAGCAAAATGAACATGCCACACCAAGAACAGATTAGCTTTACATTAGCTTTACTCTTGAACTGGAGGCAAGTTGACTGCTGGCTTCCCTATACCCAGCCTGTCCATCTAGGTCCAGTATCCTGCTCCTTCTTCCTCCAACTCTGACACCAGTCAGCTCCCAGCTCATTCCCATGCAGGCGTCAGTCCATCTTGACATCTCCCTCCTCAGCCAATTACCAGTGACTCTAGATTACCTGTACTTGAGTGTCAATAAAAGGTTTATAACATCTTTATAGTCCAGGTCCAAAACCTGTGCCTGGTGGCGCATAGGTCATAACAACAAGGCGGGATTTTGATTGTTCATGAGGTTGAAAAAGGCAGGAAAATCATTTTGAAAAGGCAAGATGCAGGCCAGCTAAGGGCAGAGACTGGCAAATGAAAGTTCATAGTTTCTGAGAAGATAGTCAGCACTAACCTAAGAGCAGACCTTGTGTCATGGTCAAAAACAGTGGACTGTGTATTTTGTCAAGCTTACAGTTCCCTGGGAGGATGCTTATGAGGGCTTATGAGAGGAAAAAATGGAAATACACTGGAAAGTTAAAGTCTGCCCAGTGGAATTTGATTGTAGGGGATTTGTAGCCAAGCCATCTGGCTCTCTGCTATGTGAGTTAGGTATTAAAAGGCAGATCCTAAGACAGACACCCAGGAACCTAGCTGATGGTGCAAAAAGGTCTGGTAAGTGGCTCTGGAGCAGAAGAAAGGTGTGTGGCCGTTAAGCCTTCTCAGTGTTGTGGGCCCAACTCAACAAAACACTAGTTAGTGAAGGGGTACCCACCTGACCCTGCTGACTTGCCTTCACTCCTACACTCACACAAAACTTGTATTGGTGGTGGTGATAATGCAGGTATTGACTCACAGGGGTTATTAGTAATATATCTCTCTCTTGTTTGACATTCTTGGTAGAAAAGTGTCAGTGGTTGTACAACTGAGTGGACCCAGCGCTCAGGGGTGACTGCCATTACAAGCCAGTTGAGCCAGCTGCTACTTAACCTGAGCAAATACAATGCAGAAGCTATGTGTCAAGCCACATACTGTATCTGGTCTTTGCATGGGTGAGGATAGGATTCAGGGGTGCATTCTATTTGGGGTAGGTTAGGTTTGGAAAATTGTGTTGCTTATTGTGGGGCTATAAAGATTTATGATGGCACAGCCTAACACCCCCCTCTTTGAAGCCAAATAATGGGTAAACATCACAACTTTTATACTGAGCTTACACTTGGCCATGTCAGTGTATCAAACTGGAAAACCTAAAAGCAAAAATATCCAGTGATGAATACACAATATTTCTTTGAAGACCAAGACTGGATGTTTGAGAGAAATTTGGTGCAGTTACAGACAGTGAGAACAATGTTTGCTGCCAAAAAGTGTTAGGCACTTCCTCACTAAGGGAACAGCTGCAGAGCCCAGGTGCTGTGTCAATTGACAGATGCTTTTTCAGGAACACAGTTCTCAAGCACTTTTAAGTAAACGACTGTGTAGCTTAAAGTCTATTTTAATTATGGGTATGGGTCAGGTCACAGGTCTTATGTTTAACGGGTCAGAACCAAATTTCATTTTGAAATAACTCCAAGTAGCGGGCCGGATCTGATACTGAGCTTTTCAAAATTGGATCTGTGCAGGACTTTGGCCTGTGTTACTCCACCTGCTTGTGGTTCAGTGTGTCTGTCTCCACACCATGGACCAACTTGTACTATTTTGTATGACATGCAGACACTGATTCCATAGCTCATTCATTTTCTGTCATTTACTTTAATTAATGTGTTGTTAATTTGGCAGTGTATCTCCTCTCTTTAGTTGTGGCCTGCAAGACAGTCAAAACAGTGTTTTTATATTCTGTCTTCCACCTAACATATAGAAACAACTGAATTTACTCGCCTTAGTTTGTGATTCGCAGCCCAGATTCTACCACGGGTACAAAGACTCAGCTGAAATGAATCTTGAAAACATTCAGTTGTCCTACTGCTATCTTTTGGACTCTAGCCTTGCTTTGGCCTTATGTCATTTTTCAAAAGCAGCACCGTCTGCTTTGTTGCACTCATCTGCCTCTCATCACAGGCATACCTTATGCCCACCTCCTCACTCCCTATGTTTTATTTTTCACAATACCCTCCATTGTACACTTTATTCTCTTGGGGCTTTGCTGACCCCGCAGATCATCTACCAGGCTCCAGATGACCAGGCTAGGCCCTGTCTGTTTTCATTCCCCTCTGGGGGACAAGTAATTTGGAGGAGAGCGATGGAGACCAGATGACCATTGGCTCCTGACCTTTTCTCCCACAATTTAGCTCCTTGGCATTGTGTCCACTGAATGTGGCAATCAGCCTAGGTAGAAGTGACACCCTCATCTGAGCATTGCCAGGCCCCACACACAATCACTGTGTCACTTTCCATCTATATATGGGGGCTGCAAACAAGTGGTAGTGCTGGAATATGGGATGTGGGAGGCGAGGGCTCAGATGCATGCTAGAAGCCTGTTAGTGTGTTTGGCTTCATGGTCATGCTGGTAATCTTGCTAAAATATTTAGGTGTTGTTTTTGTCACATCGTCCCCACTTAATTCCTTTCTGTATTGAAAGGCAGATTTTCAGAGCTGTGATGCTGTTAATACTGATACTACAAGTCCCTTGTGGTATTGGTGCTAACAGCTTCTCTTCCATCTCCAGCTAAAGAGGATTTCTTCCCTTCACTCTCCAGTGTTAGATCAGATCACCATTTTTCCACATAGGAGATGAACCAATTACATACACAAAAAGAAGAAAATCATAGTATTTATTATTTAAATGGACCTGTATAATATGAGGCAGATTTATGACTGTAGCATTGAGTGACTGGACCAGTGTAAGAATACAATGAGACACAGAAAGCCCAGAAATGTGTGTTGGAAAATGAGTTGCCATGTAATAGATGGGCTAAAAAGGAGGATGAAGCAGAGGAACTTAGGAAAAGGGACCTGGTTTTGTGATATTAGAACATCTCCAGTGTATTCTTATCTAGACTCAGTGAGCCACAATAAGACTAAAACCTGGTGGAATAAAGGATGGCAGGATGGAGACAAAGTGGCCTGTGGATTATAGCTTGTTGATAGCATTCTGGGCCATTCAACAACAAGTTCAGGGAATAAAAAGCAACAAGACTCTACTACTGTACTTCCTTTGAATACAGTTAGAATCCTTAAGATTTCAGTCCCCGTTTGATTTGTGCATCTAAACAAAGAGTGTACTGAAAGGATTCATGCAGCCACATATTAATAAAGGTAACTAAATGTGTGCATACATCATCCCTGTGAAGTTCTACTGCAGTGGTACACATATTAAATCCTGCACAGGAAAGGTGGACCATGAATAATATCAAACACTGGATTAGATTTTATATAATCTTCATAAAAACCTTTGTTGCATATAATTAAGGCATTAAATACCCCATTTATTCACACTATAGTATGGCTGATTTTACATAAATAAATAATCTGTATACTTCTACTACATCCTGTATGTTGCAAGTAAAGTTCATCTATGCTTCTAATGAACTCATAACTGCAATGGACCTTAGAGAAAGTGTTGCAAAAAACACAGATATGTGCATAACTGTTGTTGTTTAACAGTCCATAGTTAACGTGCAAGCACAGAGAGCAACAGGGTAAGAAAATATAATGATGATCTGCTGCTGATGATCATCTGAAAGGATCCAGGTATTCACTCATCCCCTCTGTGCTGAAAATGAAATTGTCCAATGTGCAAAATTTACTTTTGTGGTGTTGTGGCCCCTGGGGGTCACAAGCACAGCGTGTCATGTACTGGCAGCACTGGGGCACCTCCAAAGTACACACCAACCAACTCTGCATTTCAGCCCTGGTGCTGGCATCCTGTTCGCCACTGCTATGTGGAAACCACAGAGAGAAGATTGGGCCTAGTGTGAAAACCTGCTAACCAATAAAACCCCTCCCCCCAGACAAATTTCCATTTCTGGTTTAGATTTCCTTCTGTGGTCAGCCTTGCCTGTCACCACCCTGTTTCTGTTTTCTGTATCTTCCCCTGAATCACAACTACTTCCTTTGTCATATCAGTTTATCCAAGTATTAAGCTTATATTGTATACAATATAATTTGTATATATAAAATTAAGGATGGTAGATAGTGTAAGATTTGAGTCTTATAGACTCTAGTTACTTTTAAAGGCTGAAAACCATTATAAAGCCTCATCCGGTTCTTTCAAACCAGGAACTCAGAGGGACGACTCAGACCACTTGAGTATATAAAAAATATATCCGTGCTGGTTTATTCAAAAAGTCACAGGCAAGAATCCACACTTCCAGTCCAGAGATCTTCCAAACCCCCAGCCTGCCAAAGCAGCCCGGAAGCAGGAAGACCCCGAACCAAGCATTGCTATACAATATTAATCCTTTCTGGGCTGTCGAACCGTGACGTCACCCGATAAGCAAGCCTTGCAGCTGCCATAACGTTTAGCCAAAACATGAGGAAAAGTCAAGGTGCGTGACTGTTGTTTTCGTGGTGTGTATCTAAAACAATTGGACATAACCTTACACATTAAGACAAATATTAAGACTAGCATTACAGTTGACACTAACAGCAGTTTTCCTGTAACCTTGACGTGCCTGCAGTCTGCACTAAACATTCATAGACAACAAATCTCTGAATATCTATCTAACTAAAAAATAACCTAACAAGTCCCCCTTTCGACACGACCAAAATCGTGTCGAACTAAATCAATGTCCCAGTTTCCCCAGATGAAGCTACCTAGCATTTCGAGAGGTGAGTGACCCCCACCAAGCCACCCCCTCAAGGGTAAACTACAGAGCTGAGTACTCCAGGGAAAAATGAACTGAAAACACAACAAGGGCAACAGCATGTAAGCAGGTACTTCATTGCAGTGACCTCTATATGTATGCCGTATGTGTAAGCTGATTAAATGCAATTAAGAGCCATGGAGTGGACATAATTATGGAAAAGTATAAACATCATGTGTAGACTCTAACACATTGAAACAAGGGGAGCTCCGGTTCACACCAAATGGAGAATAGGATCAAAAGCTGTTGAATGTTGTACCTCTGTCCAGGGCGGAGCAGCCCAAGAAGATAAAATGCATTGTAAAACATGATTTGGGATTCAGAAGTTGGTTTTCCTGCGGAAGCTCTGGCTCTCTGAATCCAGTGCTGTAAGACTTGCTTGTAATCAGACTTTCAGTAAACTTTCTGTTGATTTTAAACAGTCCTCTCCTGTTGTCACTTCTCGTGCTTCCAACAAAAGAATTGGGTTAATTTATAACAAAAAGGTTAGAATCTAACAATAGATATGATGCACATCAGTGGGTTTAAAAGAATGTCAGTACTACTGTACATTGATTGCCCTTAACCTGAACCTATTACACAACAGTTGGAGCAATACAGTATGTTCTTACCACTGTTGAGGGTCATATGAGTGCAGTGGTCTGAAAACCACCTTGTTCTTAATGTCCTACTCATGGACAGAATTTTGCTAATATATAAATTATATGTATTAAATCAACTGTAGAGACACAGTGACAAAACACCTCTGCCATACTGTAGAAATTTGCCTTTTGAAAGTTAAAAGAAAGATCATCTTATATAAAATATCTAATATAGTTTATTACATTGCAACTTATTTCATACCTTTTTCGGAAAGTAAAATAAGGATGAGGAGGAAAGACTAACTTGGATCCTCTCATGTAGTCCTTGGGTTTCTCTTATTCTCCCAGCAGCCCTTGCCTTTCAGCTAAGGGAATAATTAATGAAACTTTTGATGTAAAACAAATATTGGAGTTTAGTTGCCTGTGCTGCTTTCAAATATTTCATCTTCTTTTGGAGCAGGGAGAATGTTTGAGTGAGAACATAAATGGATCAAAGACTTACACAAATCTAAGCATTAAAAAAGGATAGGAAAACACATTCAAAAAGTATTGTGAAATTAAATGAGCTCGAGATAACAGCAAGTTCACACATGTTCACAAGAGCCACAGAGTCATTTCTGTGAACTGAAGAGTGAAACCAAGCCATTTCAAACTCACGATCTGAATATTTTCTTTTCTTTTTTTAATACATTTAAAGACATACAAACTAAGGAAGACATGAAAGCTGCCAACTATAGTTAAGGCTCTGCTCAGATATGTGTGCTCCCATTGTGGGTAACTGCAGTAATGATTCATTCATTCATTTTCTACCATTTGTTCCCTGAGCGGGGTCACGGGGGGCAGAGCCAATCCCTGCCGGCAATCGGGCGAAGGCGGGGTACACCCTGGACAGGTCACCAATCCATCGCAGGGCTAACACATAGACAAACACACACATGCACTCCTATGGGCAATTTAGAGACACCAATCAACCTAAGCTGCATGTCTTTGGACTGTGGGAGGAAGCCGGAGTACCCGGAGAGAACATGCAAACTCCACACAGAAAGGTCCCAGGTGGGGCCCGAACCTGGAACCTTCTCACTGTGAGGCAACAGCGCTAACCACTGTGCCACCGTGCTGCCCCCTGCAGTAATGATGATTTTTTTTTCTTCTTTTGTTAAAGGGAATTTCTCTACTTCAGATTCCAAGGCTCAGACCTTGTGGCTCTGAGTGGAGAAGAGACTGTCAGCTAAGGCAGGCTATCTCTGCATCCACCACTCTGGTGCTCTCTGGTCTCCTCTGAGACAAGATGCTAATAGTGGTGAGTGAAGCCTTCATTTTGTGTGACTCTCTTGTTTCACTGCAAGACATTGTTTGGTTTTTCTGGTGGGAAATCTCATTCGGAGGGATGGTAAATAGACAAATACTAGGCAGAGGGGTGTGTGTGGCAGAGAGAGACAGACTCGAACAGACAGAGAGAACTGAGGTGAGACAGAATTTGAGAGCTGGGTGAAGATGCTGAGCTGCTGCAATGCACCTGATTCACTTGCCAACTTTTCCACACCTCTTCTCTATAACAAGGAAACACAGACAGTGACATCAGAAAGCAAGTGGGTTTATGATATAATTTGGTTGTACCCTGATTAAAGACTTTAATGTTCTGTGGTGAAAAAAGACGTAAAGAACTGAAATGATATTTTGTGCCCCAGTGATGAGGGAACTGGACCTGCCTGTATTGTTGCAAAATTTATATATATGCTTTATACTCCACCCCTGTCACCTGTGATATCTTGTGTTTGTTTGCTTTATTCCCACAGGGGTGGGAAATTATTTTTTCCATGGGGCCACATGAGAAGCAAAAATATTGTGGAGGGCTGGGCCAAAAGGCTGAACTCAATTTCGCATAATATTAATTGTATTTCTTTATAAAAAGCAATAAATAGCATTCCCACCTGGGACCTTTCTGTGTGGAGTTTGCATGTTCTCCCCGTGCTTGCGTGGGTTCTCTCCGGGTGCTCTGGCTTCCTCCCACTGACCAAAGACATGCAGCTTAGGTTGATTGGTGTCTCTAAATTGCCCATAGGAGTGCGTGCGTGTATGTGTGGTTGTTCGTCTATGTGTTAGCCCTGCGATGGATTGGCGACCTGTCCAGGGTGTACCCCGCCTTCGCCCGATTGCCGGCCGGGATTGGCTCCGGACCCACCCGTGACCCCGTTCAGGGACTAAGCGGTAGAAAATGAATGAATGAATAAATAGCATTGTTTTGACAAGCTGGTAAGAGTATATGTTACAGTTGAACATTGAAAAAGTGAGGTTGCCTTACAAAAAATGCCATTTATTCAATCAAATTTCCCAAAACAATGGTAAACAAAATGTGAACATTTTTTACCATTTGTGACTCATATTAGTGAACATTTTCAGTCATTGTCAGGGCCGCTCGGCGGCCGCTGCCTCTCCTCCGTCTTTCTCTCCTCTGCTCTCTCTATCATGTGTGCTTTGCACC